GAGACACACAGACAGACAAGTGGGTATTCGTCTGACGAAGTGGGTATTCAACCACGAAAGCTTATGCTCCAATACATCTGTTAGTCTATAAGGTGCCACAGGACTCTGTCGCTTTTTACAGATCCAGACTAACACGGCTACCCCTCTGATAAGAACAGATACTACGCTTGATCTTAGCTCATAGAGAGCCGAGAAGTACTAGACAGACAGACACTCCTTGGATACACACACTACTGCAGCACTCCAGCCTTTGCCTACAGTTTAACAGACTAACCTCAAATCAAGATAGAAACCTGTACAAGAGAGATTAAAATTTAGTCTCTGTAGAGTGAATCCTTAGCTAGAAAGACACTATAGCAGCCATAAAACAACTTGGAGAGAGGTGAAAGGAGAGAGGCTGGCCATGGAACCCTGCAAGGTGGGAGTGTCCCAGACCCTGGGCTGCAGCCTGAACCTGTTTATCTACACTGCAATTAAACAGCCCCACAGCCCAAGCCCCATGAGCCCAAGTCAGCTGGCCCAGGCCAGATGCAAGTTTTTAATTACCCCTGACTTCAAGCTACCTGGAAATGACAACTAACTGCAGATTAAAGCAGTAAAAGGAAGGAGTTCTGAATCCTAGGACCAGAAAGGCTAAACATTAGACAGGCCTAGAGAAGAAGAGCCCCCCAAAAATAGTAATATGGTATAAAAGTAATATGCTACTTTAAAGCCCACTGAACAAAACCTAAACTAGTCCACTTGGAGTCAGTATTCTGGGACTGGTGTGTTATGCTTGTGCCACTTTATTTTCTATGGTGATCTAACTGCTTTGGCATGCAATACAAACACTTGGGGCCCAAATTTTGGTTTTCAACTGCCTTTCCATAGTGCTCCAGCAGCATCAGAGGGGTTACAAACCACATAGAAGCACCACCCAGAGAAAGGCCCCAGCATAAAGAGGGCTCACAAGCCAGTAAAAAGCTTCTAGGACAGCTTTACTCCAGCCCTCTCCCCTGCTCCCAGCGTAGGGGACATGCCAGAGAGGAGGAGCAGCTTTGCACTCTGGCTATTCTCAGCAGGTGGACAGCCCATGGAAGCAACTGCAACCAAAGAATAACATCTACTGGGAGCCAGGCCAAGAATACCAGGACATGTAAAGATGACAGCCACCGCTGTCATCCTGTATTCCTGCAACTAGCTCAGTTTGGTGGAAACAGAACTGAAGCTATAATCTCTAAAAACCCCATTTAATCCACCACACACATCCAATACTCAGGAGCCTGTTACTTACTTCACATTAGTCACTGTAACAGGGCAGTGATTTAAGCATCAGAATGTCATTAGCACCATCTTCTTAACAAGACAATTGTATCAAATTATTATCAGTAATAAATATTTATTTTATAGTAGTGCCAAATGACCTCAAATTGGGATTGGGGCTCCATTGTGCTGGGTGCCATACAAACACAGAAAAGAGAATGTCTGCCCTGAAGATTTACAATTTAAATAAACAAAGGCCATGCCTACACTTGGAAAAAAGGAATATTTTAACTTATACTAAAACATATTAATCACTTTTTCCTAGTGAAAACAAAGTCCTTGTCTTCACTAGGAAAAAAGTGTATTTTTAGCATGTGTTTGCTAAGGTGTTAACAAACATTAAAATTTTAGTGTAGACAAGGCAAGTTGAAGTTTTAACAGGTAAACGTGCTGAGATAAACATGGGGAAGGGAGCATATGGATACTGAGGGAGCTTCGGGTTTACATGTCAGCCAACCTATTTAGACTTAAAGATGATTTAATATAGGTGAAGAGGTTATATAAAGTTCAAGAAAATACAATGAAAATCTGCTTTATGGTAATTCTAGTTTGATCTAACATGCAGAACACAGAAACAACAACATCCTTTCAAGAGATTACCTGCAGAGATCTAAGTTTCTCTACCTAGACCACAGCCTCAGCCACACGGGGTTGGAGGAGGAAATGTCACAATTCACATCCCTGAGGGCATGAAACTTGAAGTATCCATACTACTTCTGGCCACTGTGCAGGACTGGACACAGGGCTGGAAAAGTTAATTCACCACAGGTAAATAGAGAGACCTAAGCCATCAATTTCTGCAGCAGCTTTTGGTTTTTATAAAAATTAACTTTCTAGCATCTATGAAGATAAACTTCCAAATGTTAATAAAATACTATGTTGTGTGTCCCTGAGCCTGGACCTAAACAGTATACTGCTACTCCTTGCTTTTCCAAACTGCAGCAGCAGCATGAAATTGACAAGACACTGGTCAGTTTAACAGATGCTATTCTGAACCCTGACAGCAACAGTGAACTGACAAAATCAAGTCAGTTGAGGTGCCACTGGGATTGTTGCCCTTAAATCTTGCTGATGGCTTTTGCCTCACATCCTCATCTTTCATATCAATCTCAAGCTAACATATCACTGGGATTAACTGGTGCCTGATAAGTGTCATAGCTTTCCCAAATTATAATAAAGTGCAAAACTACTAGTCTTTTCAGCTTTCACTGCTACTATTCAGAACCCTGTGGACAGCACACAAAAAATTGACAAAAATAACATCAGTTTCATCTATAACTGCTTGGGGAAATAAAATATAAGCAGCAGAAACAAGAACTGAAGCTTTTCACTCAGAAGGACCCAAACAGAGGATGGATGTGGATACTATATTAAGAAAGAACCACCCTAGATGCTATTAGCAATAGCCCCCTCACAGCAAACAAGATATTTTGGGGGTAAGTAGGGGGAACAGGAGTACTCTCTCTTTTAGGAACCAGAATGGGTTGGTGGGGGGAGGCAACTGTAAATTTAAATATCTGCTATCCAAATGCTAAAATAAGTGAGACACAGCACACTGGTAGGAATCCCAACACCAAGGTACTGATTGTGGACAATGAGAATCCCCACCAAATCTTACATGTCCTCATTTTTTTTCAGGCCCTGAAATTACTGTATAATGACATAAAAGAAAATGAATATGTTCTTTTTCTGACATTTTTTTCTGGACTTTAGCCATTTACTTTGCAGTATCTGCATCTTTCTCTCCCCTCCCCCTTCCTTCCAGAAAAGTTGGTGGTTAGACTCTGATCCATAACTTAAATTTATTTTAAGAGAGAGACTATAGCAGGTTTGTACCCTTCTTTCACACCCAAGTGGTGTCAATGTTTTGCTTTTTACCCCCCTGTTCTTTTTAGTTTATTACTATTATCATTTTAGCAGTAACTGAACAGTTAAGACATTCTACTCAAGAAATAAGGCATTTTATTTTTAAAAAAAATAACTCATTTGAAGATTCACCTGTTTACTTCAAGCTTCTTGGGGTCTTAATGGAAATTTTTGGTTTGTTTCTGAAAATAGTGGAAAATATAAAAATGCTGTGCCTTTTACTTGACCTTTTGTACTTTATCTTGACAGATTACTGTAAAGGCAACAGGGATATTTATCTTTCCACAGACACATATGCTGTCAGTATTCTGCTGTTTTACAAAAGAGTGAGGGTAAGTGGTTGTTCTGTTTTAAGTGGCAGTTTGCAAAGCACAACATCTTATTTGAAAAGCATTGTTCCTTTTAGTTATATCAAAAAGAAATATTAATATGTATTTCAGGACTCTATACTGGTTGTAACATTTAAATTTTCCACATTAAAGCAACAGGAATACACAATTTCTCAACCACTCATGTACCAGTTTGGATTCTTTTTGTTGGTTTAGTTTTTTTAACTGAACTGCAAGCCACATTTTTCCTTTCTAGATAAATACCTCCTAGATCAACATAACACAATGTAAATAGCGTTTAAATTTCTCTCCCACACAAACAGCAAGAAAAAGTGAAGGGCTACAAATGCCTTTCTGTACTTTATAATCCTCATGTAACATGCAATGAGGTTATGAATAATAGTCAGTAAACAGGGGCAAAAATGACCAATGCAGATCAATTTTTCTTTAGAATAGACCTACCTGTTGATCCAAATAACTGAACTGAAAGATAAAATAAACATAATAATAATAATAATAATGTCTTTAACAATTATTTGAACTTCTGGATTCTGAGAACTAGCACTTAAGAATAAACCTTACATCTTTGGTTCCGCTTACTAACTGCGCTGAACATGAGTTAAGCTGTTAGGTCATAGAAAAGTCTTGTTTGCCCAGTTAAGATGAACAGCACATAATTGAGCACCACACAGCTAATCTCCAAAGTATGACAGATGTTTTACATTACCTCAGTTACATATCTGCTGCAAATAAAAACAACATTTAGAAGACACTATGACATTATGTCCTCCTCTCAAACAGGTGGTTTGCACCTAAACTAACCCCTACAACAACAAAACTTAACAGGTTCATTTTCCTACGGAATGCCACAACAGTTAGCAACAGACAGGACAACATCTCCCCTGACAAACTGTTTTAGTTTCATTGATACAGAAAGCCTCTTGGGAATGAAGACTGGGTTTTATATGTTCCGTTGACTCCTTATTTACCAGCTACCCACACCACCATAAACCGACAGTCAATCACATGTCAGATGTGTGCATGCACTCAGCAGGGGCAGCAACAGAGACACTGTTGGTCCTGCGCCACAACTGCAGTTTCAAATGCACGTTTGTAAAACTAGGGTGGGTAGTTCCTATTGCACCGATCTCTTCCTTCCTCCCGCATGAACGCCACAAATACGGAAACTCAGCCCAGCCCGCACCCCCGCGGAGCACGCTTGCTCTAACCTGACCGACTGCCAGTCCCAGCACTCAGCTGGCGCTAAGGCGGGGGTAATACCCCAAATGCAGGAGGACGCCCAGGAACCTTGGCAGGAAACTGCTAGACCTTACCTGGCACCCGGGCAGCTGGAGGGGGAGGGGGCTGTCCCACCTCCAGCCAGCAGCACTGGGGGAAAAGGAAAGTCGAGTAACTCGCCCACGCACCGTTTAAAACCGCTGCCCGGAACTCGCCCCCTTCCGCCGGCAGCAGCGCCCTCCCGGTGCCCTCTGCTCCGCTCACCTTGGGGAAGGTGCCCTCCCGGCGGGGGCTTTTGGGATGGTCGAAGTGGCCCCTGTCCAGCATCAGGTAGAGGGAGAAGATCACGACGCAGAAGATCGCGCTGCCGAACACCGTGAACTGCCTGCTCAGCTTCATGTCCGCGGGCAGCGGGGCCCCGCCGCTCCCAGCCCGCAGCGCGCTCACCCGGCCGGGGCTCTGACAGCGCTCGCTCAACTTCTGGGGGCGCTCGCTGGCTCCGCCGGGCCCGCTGCCTGCCCCGGCTCACAGGGAAAAGTTTCCTCCGGCCGGGCTGTTCGGGAAGCGGCAGCGGGTGTCCTCACGCGACAGTCCCAAGTCCCCGAAGTTACCCCGCTCCAGCTGCACTCAGCCCCCTGCGCCGCCGCCGCCTTCCCAAGAGACGCCGAGAGTTTCCGGGAGCGGAGCGGGCTCCTCCCCCCGACTAGTTATTGCCGAGTAGAGGAGCGAAGGGCAGCGCTGCGGGACCAACCCTGCTGCACCCCAGCTGCTCCGCTCCCCCGGGCTGCCTCTGAGCGGCGCCGAAGTCCGCCGCCGCCTCCTCCCGGCAAGAGCGCCGCTACCCCGCAGCACAGACCTGGCAACAGGGACGGCGCCGCGCGCACACTGAGCTCTGGGAGCGCGGAGCCCCCAACCGGGCAGCACCGGCCCCTGCTGCTGCCGGAGAGCAACGCGCTCCGCCCCCCGCACGCACCGAGTCCGGGCGGGGCCTGCGCGTGACACGCCGCCACCGCTGCAGCAGGGCCGCCCCCAGCGCTCTGAGGCAGGGGACGGGCGCTGAACCGAGCGGTGGGCGGAGGAGCGACTGCCCCTCCGACCGTTGGGGGCGCGGCCGTTGCTGCTGCTGCTGCCCCTCGACTCCGCGGAACGTACTTGAGTGCGTGGCGGTTGCGGGTTCTGTAGGCCGCGCGGGAGCTCGAGCCGTTGGTGTTGCTGCCTCTCGCCCCCGCGGGAGCACCGAGCACAAAACTGTTCTCGCAGGTGCTTCCCCGTTGGCCCTACGGAGCGATAGGAACCAGAGCAGCGGCTCGTGCTGCCTCGAGTCAAGCTGCGGCGCTCTCAAAAGGTGGGGCCAGGACAGGGCCTGGGCGGGGCCTGAGCCGTCGTCTCTTGGTAATTTACAGCGTTGAAAGTAAGAAAATGCCTGGCTCTGCCTGGGCTCAGGTGCTGGGACCCCCCTGGGCCTGCTCCAGCGCAACAGGCACCCACCAGGATTTCCCCTGCAGGGACCCTCGTGGCGATGATGGCAGCCAGCCTGGCTCCCTGCGTGCTCAGGGCCCCACTGGGGCAGGCGGTGGGTAGCCGCAGCAGCTGGCACTGTGAGCGGCTTGGGAAGGGAGAAGAGAGGGAACACAGGAGCTGTCATTTTTTCCTAGGGTGACCAGACAGCAAATGTGAAAAAGCAGGACGGGGGTGGGGGGTAATAGGAGCCTATATAAGAAAAAGTCCCAAAAATCGGGACTGTCCCTATAAAATCAGGACATCTGGTCACCCTATTTTTTCCGGACCTTGTATCCCCATCTGTTCCCTTCCTTGAGCCCCTGTTCACCTGGATGCATTGGCTGGTCCTGCTGCAGTTTCAATTTAGATCAGTCTTTTCACAATCTGGATAAGCCACCAAAACAAGCTCTTCTACCTCATTGAAGTGGGGCCACGGTGCAACTAAGGCTGCCCACTATTAGGTCGCCCCCTTCCCCCATTTCTCCTTATAAGACTTTGGTTTCAGTTGCTTATGACTTTGCCCATCTTAAATTGTGCAGCCTAAATTTTTCCATAGTAGTAGGCTACCTCATGCTGATATTTTTTAGGAAAGGTTCAGCTATTGGAGTTGAGCCATTTCTGAGAATGTTAAGAAGGGAAAATACACTGATTTGTCCATGTTGAATTTTTTTTATTTTATTTTTTTAAACAGTTTCAGTGAAAAACTCTAATGCCTCCATGCTTTGGAGTAGGGATGTGAAATTTGGCAGGACGGTCACTCTAGCGTCATGCATATGCCTTTTGACATTCTTGTGAAAATTCTCCCTCATTATAAGCCTCTGAAAAACCTCATGTTCTGGAGAGCCTTGTTAGAGTTTGGTAGCTAAGTTCTCCAAAGATTCTGTCTACCCTGAGTATGCCCCAGTACCTCACAGTTCCTACATGCCAACTGGAGCACACATACACCATCCTCCCAGAGCATCTGAGCATGCTTCATCCCAGGGCTCAAAGAGTTGTGCAGCCCTTTCCCTGAAATTGCTGCTTCCTAGCTGCTGCAGGCTGCTGTTGTGCTAGAGAGAGAGTCGCTCCTGGGCACTCTGTTTTGCCAGCTGCCCGTGGGCAGAATGGAGGAGAAGGAAAAAGCTGCCTGACTTGAATGCAGAGGACTGAGGAACAGTGGATGGGGTAGAGCAAAGAAATGCTGAGCAAATAGGAGCCTTGGGGTGGGAGGAGAGATTAGGAAGTGGGAGCAGAAGACTGGGGTGAGGAATAGGAAGAAGGAGGGAAGTAGAGAGAGAGAGGCAGGAGGATAAGAGCAGTGGGAATGGGGAAGAAGCTGGGAGGGACAGCAACAGGGGAGGAGACAAGAGCAAGATGGTTTGTAACCACCATAACACACACACACCTACAGAACCTGGAATTGAACTCAGGCATCTTGAATGTTTTCCAAATAGCTATGAAACTCTCTGTCAAAGCATGTCTCCATCCCCTTCTAGTCACAGATTCACATAGAGGATAACAAGCCTACTACTGCTGCCGCTCGCTCTGTTAGCTCAAGCGATAAAGGCAGTTCCTGTGGATTGAAAGATTCCAAGCCTGCCGATGGTGCATGTGGAAGAGGCCACTGTAGTTCCATGTGCTGAAATTTTTGTTCTTTCAATTTTTTAAAAAAACGCTTAGGAAATTACATATAACTATGGGCTGGTATACACTACACAGTTAAGTACATGTAAGGCAGATTACCTCAACCTAATTGCCAGTGTCTACACAATAGCCTTGTTCTCGCTGATGTAAGTGCCCTACTACATCAACTTAATAACTCCACCTCAATGAGAGGCATAGGGCTTATGTCGGTGTAGTTAGGATGATGCAGTGTCTGTGTAGATGGTGTGTTAAGTACATCTGCTGTTGGCTGTCTTGTCAGTTTCACGGCAGGAGCCATGAAATTGACAAGAAAGCAGGGAGCTAGAGCCCAGCTGCCCTGGCTCCTCTGGAGAGCTGGGTGGCTGGACACCACTCCAGTCTTGGAGCCGCGGCAAGAAGCCTGGGTGGCTTCCCATCCACTTCTGGGAAGGAGCTAGGGTGAAAAGCCCTGCAGGGAGCCGGGCTGAGAAGCCTGGGCTACTTTTCCCTCAGCAGGAACCAGGGCGAGAAACCCAGGTGGCTTTCCCCTGCCACCCCCCACACACACACACACACATGGTCTCAGCCAGGAGCAGGGGCAAGAAACCGTGAAATTTACTAGGCTGGCCGGATCTCAGCAGGGGAGGGGGTCCAAGAAGCCCTGGGCAGCTTCCTCCGCCCACGGGATCCCCAGGTGGCTTCCCTCTCCCCTGCTGAGTGGCTACCCCTGTTCCCAGCAGGGAATGAGGAGCAGCAGCCCGCAAGGAGCCCAGGAGGCTGTGGGGCAGCCAGGCTCCCGACAGGGAGCTGCAAGAGAAGATGAGAGCCCAGTCTTAAGTCAGTGGAAGTGCTCCTGGTGAGGACATGCACCACCGACCCAAGGAGAGTAGTGTGGACATGCACTACCTCAGTAATTACTATACCACTATAGTAGGTCGACTTACATTTCTAGTGTAGACATACCCTCAGTTAAAAGACCATTAAAGTTGCAGAATCAAGCACTCAAGATTTGGGAAAGGCCATAATAAAGGTTGCTCATGTAACCTTAATTAACCCTCTTGTGCATGTGCATTATAATACAGTCTTTAATTACACAGTCACATACTACTTTTTCCCCATGTCACCCCTGCCTCATTCAGTGCACAGGACAGTCTGTGCCCTGGGAATAAGTCGGGAATGTGTAATGAATGCGGCTGTTGTCTGTTAGACTTCTGCCTCTTATGTTGAGGAAGTTGGAAGGGTATGTAGTGAATGAGACCAGAAAGTGCAGGAATTAGACAAGATGGGCTTATACTTAAGGTTGTGAAATGCCACCTTGAAGATTTAGATTCTATTCCTATTTCTATCACTGAGGCCCGGCCACTATTGCACTGGAACTGCAATTTTCAGATGGCCGCTGTGTATTTGTTTTCTGCACGTCCAACTTGAGAACCTGCCATCTGATTTGCAGAAGTGCTGAGCACTTGTATTTGCAAATTAAGTCAAGGGGAACCTTGTTTTAAACATACAATAGAACATCAGAGTTAGGAACACCTTGGGAATAGAGGATGTTTGTAACTCTGGTATGTTTGTAACTCTGAACAAAATGTTATGGTTGTTCTTTCAAAAGTTTGCAATTGAACATTGACTTAATACAGCTTGGAAACTTGCAGAAGGAAAATGCTGATTTTAACCATCTTAATTTAAATGAAAGAAGCACAGAGACAGTGCCCTTACCTTGTCAATTTTTTTTTTAATTTTCCCTTTATTTTTTTAATAGCATATGTTTAACATAGTACTATACTGTATTTGTTCCCCCCCCCCCTTTTTTTTTTTGGTCTCTGCTGTTGCCTGATTGCGTACTTCCAGTTCCAAATGAGGTACGTGGTTGACCAGTACGTTCATAACTCTGGTGTTCATAACTCTGAGGTTCTACTGTATAAGTACTCTGAGGGCTTGTACACACTAGTGCTTACTTCAGTATAACTTACGTCATTCAACAGTGTGAAAAAGCCACCTCCCTGAGTGACGTAAATTACATTGACCTATGCGCCGGTGTGGACAACGCTATGTTGGCGGGAGAAGCTCTCCCATCAACATAGCTACTGCTGCTCGGGGAGGTGGAGTAATCATGCTAATGGGAGAGCTCTCTACTGTCGGCACAGAGCGTCTGCACTAGCAGAGCTACATCAGTACAGATGCGCCACTGTAGTGCTTCTAGTGTAGATTAGCCCTGAGAAAATCAGGTCCAAGTCTTCCCAAATTGGGCACCCAAAGGTAGTTGACATTCTTGACTTTAATCACTGTGTCTCAGTTCTATTTTGTGCAGATAAGGTAATTAAAGTTTGTAAATAAGTAAGATAAGATCATAGAAAAACACATGAGGAAGCTGATAATTCAGTGCGGATTTTGGATAGTGTGCAGTAAATAATGCATGTGATACTAAAAGACATATTAACTAGTCACCCATTCAGTGAGCACCATCTGTCCGGCTCATTGAAGGAGGTAAGGGTCCTGTGAAAAAAAGATATGTGATCATGTAATTAAAGACTGTATCATAATGCTTATACGCAAGTGGGATGAACTAAGATTGAACAGATTGAAGAGACCTGTGAAATGCAGGATTATATATGCATGTTCAAATCTGTATTATTCTAGAGATTTATTAATAAACAGTGAAAAACAGTTCATCCATAGTTTTCTTACTGACCAGTGTGATATCTATAGTTTCTAGAGACTAGTGGGAAATGTATCTGTAGCTATTAAGAAACTGTTCAAGGGCTCATCTGCACTGTACTATATACTCCTGAGAGCATTCTGTGTCAAAAAATTAAAAATTCTGCGCACAATATTTTAAAATTCTGCAAATTTTATTTGTCAGATAAATGTGGAGGCTCTGG